CCCTTTATGATAATTCTCCACACTGATGCTAAAAATTGTCTTCCCCAAATGCAAATCTCACTATTCACTTGCTCAGAACTCTTCCGTGTGTTCCTCTTGCCCTCTTAATGTAATATATCTTACAGCAACCTTTATGGTTTGGCTGCTACTAATTTCTCGTCTGCTTCACTTGGCAAAACTACATCCCCTGTGTTTTAGACACACTCAAATATCCACTTCAGCTAATATACCATATTTGTCCTGTTCACCGGCTCTTGTTCTAAACTATTCTCTCAAAATATCTTTTAGTTCCCTTTTTAATACTATCTGTGATTCCCATCAAACTTCTCCAACTTCACCTGAATAACCCTCTTAATATTTTAGATTGTCCATGAAACAAAGTGCAAGATTCCTTGTGTATAATGTAGATTATTATTCCTCACAGACTTTTTGTTCTATCTCCTCCCCTGCTTCTGGAATTTCCCAAAGGCAATTAGATCTTTACCATATTTTGCCTTAATAGACCTAAGTAGACCCATAGAATTCTGCAGTTTGTTCTTAAGATTTGTTACAACTGACTATCAGTGTTATGCCCACACTAGTCACCTAACTCCATGAATGCAAAGACTCTGGGTATCCTGCTACTGCTGGATCCCGGGAGTCTGTAACAGTAGACCCTATGGGTCTACCTATGGGGTCTGCTATTAAGAGGTCTACTATAAATATTTGTTGAGTGAGCATTAAATGAAATAGGGAGGGGGTTTTGACATTCTCCAAGTCCTGTGGAAGAGATATCCACTTGTTTTGAAGAAAGGAGATAGAGAAATAGTCAGCTTATGAAACCTTTCTCTTTTCTCTCTCTTAGTGTACTGTGCAGTAGCATCACATCAGGATAGTCACAGCTCCTGCTGGTCCCATCCCTGGAGGCTCCATCCAAAGTGAACATTTTCTTGGCCTTCCAGTTAAAAGAAGTACAACCTATTGCTTAAGGAAGCATATTCCAGGAAGAATTTAGTTCACATTGTGTCAAATACCAAATTTAAATCTAACTTAGGAAAACTTATGAAAACAGCGTAAAAGTCATCATTGACCATTTTCAGAGTAGCTGCAATATCCTCTCAGATATTTGTTGTCTTCTTTTTGCCTGCACCAAACTTAGGTGTTCGTTCGAGAGCACTCATTCATACCAGAGGCTGTCCTTAGTCACCATGCTCTGTTTCACCTTTTCCACACACCCTTGATTACTTGATTACTTGTTACTTGAGTAACAAGTCTATATCTTCAGCCCCTTTTGGCCCCAGTACCTCTGGATATCTCAGATCAAATGCCTATAGACAGCTCCATAACAACATATCTTCAAGGAACTTGTCTCTAGCAGTGAATCTCCTGCTTTTCCTTCTGAGGTCTATCCCTACTCCCAGACCCAAGTCCTGGGAGGCACTCTTGGCAACTTCCTTCCCTCCCCTGCTAGAAGGGATCATTTACACAGCAGCCATATCTTACAAGGTTTTGCTGTTTTTCTGCTTCCTTGGACATGGAATTTTCACCACAATTGGAGCTTTACCATTTTTTTTTGCCTTAATAGCCCCAAGTAGACCCCTAGAATTTTTGTCTTAAATTCTTCAATAGCTAATTGGTCTCTCCATTTTTAGGTTTGCCCATTTCATGTGTTTTCTACCATTTTCCTCACATATGCCAGACTAATCTAAACCTAACTCTTCACCTGACAGCTTCACTCTACTCTCCCCTGCTGAAAATCTTCAGTGGCTCTCTTCCATGGCTGTCATCCTTGGTTATTCATCAGAACTTTTCAGTCGGTACTGAAATACTTAATGCATATTCACATATTGCATGTGTGAATATGCCACAACGAAGCCCATTATTCTGTATAGTTAAAATCCACTAATAAAAATAATATTTCCAATCGACATCCAACTCAGTCCAACTGAATCCTAGTCTCAGAGATGGGGCCTGACCGTCTGCAACTCTGATGAACATTCAGAGCTGAAGACCACAGGATGATTTGTCATTTTCCCCCAAGAAGTCCCGGTCCAATCCTATTTCTCACCAACTACCACATCGTATCACACTCTGTGTGCTCCCATGATGAACACCATGCACTCATTCCGTGTACACTCTGCCCACTCAGATTTCCAGTGTTCCTCTGTTGCTTCCACTCAGGCTGTCCTACCTGCCTTTTGACTCAATGTAAATGTTAAAGAATGAGCTGAGGTATCATCTCTTCCAAGGAGCCTCTCTGTGACTTTTTATCCACTCCACAACTCTCCTCTTCCAGGTTCAGATACCAGATATGTTCACAACTGCTCTTTGGTTTTTTCATAGCAACCCAGCCTCTATCACTGCCTGGTAAACCATATATTCATATGGGAGCGTCCCCCACTAGATTGTGACACTCTTGAAGACAAGGGTGTTGCCTCCATGTCCAGAAGGTCAGAGGCTATCATGGTTGAGTCAGGCACACGCAAAGGCTATGGTATGACATAAAGCCCAGAGCCATCTGTTCACAGTAGTGATTTTGGGTGGGAAATCGGAAGAGTATCTCAAAAAGTCCTTTGGTGGGGGGTGAGGGTTCAAGCCCTTCTATTGCCATATCTCTGGAACTGTTTTGGGTTTTTATTTTTTTGTTGTTGTTGTTTGTTTTTAAAAACCATACGAGTAATGGAAGCCAAGTTACATGTCAAGGAACACAGGTTCAATGTGTGATATTTGGAACTAAATATTAGAAAGCAACCTCAGACATACCCTGATTTAGGATCTAACTGTTCACTTGGTTTTGGCTTCTGAAAGTGGTTAAGGGTATGGATGAAGATTAGAGGGCAGATATTATAATGTAGTGTGTGTGTGTGTGTGTGTGTGTAGTTAGTATAGATAATGAAGAGTCTCCCTTTCACCAAATTTTAGTGCCCTCTGAGCCCTTTTCTCTACTAGGCCTCATGTCTCTGACTGTAAAACCTGCCTACTGTCCACACAAATGAATTCATCCACCCCTGCCCCTCAAGTCTTGAACAAATAAATACGAATCTAGGTTATAGTAGCATGAGGTTGCATCCCCAGGGATGAATGAGTTCAATTCTGTTAAGTTTCTGCCTAAGAAAGCTCAAGGACACCAACAAAATTTACTGTTCTTTCCAGCAGGCATGTCTCCCAGTCCCTGAGGGAGAATGGAAATTGATCTTCGATAAGCACTAATGAGCAATCTAGGTAAATTCCAGATGAACTAAACCCCTTTTCCTTTGCACACTTTTTATAAATATCCACTTCCCTGTTTCTGCTCAAATCCCCAATATTCCCCCTCTCTACTCCCTCATTCTTACCTTAAAAGGCCTATTACTACTCTGCACAAATTGAAGTTGAGTTCAGCTCACACTGGATCATCTTCCCTATTACAATAGTTGGTTCCTGATTAAGATCTGTCCTTACTGCTTTAATGAGGGTCTGGTTTTGTTTCTCTTTGACAGCATCCTTGGCAATATATATTCTATCATCTGACATCCTAGTGGATCTGATTCTTGAGGTTCATGTGGCACTTAATGGGATGAGAATCTTCAGAAAAAGGTCCATGGGCAAGAGGAGGATCAAAAACCACCATGGGATTGTTGGAGGAAAATACCTTAAACAAAGGTATTAGGGGTGATATGTTTTAACAGAAGAGTACTTCTTAATGGGGGGAGGGAGTGGATAGGATTCAAAGTATATTATTTGCATGTAAGAATATGCCACAATGAAGCCCATTATTCTGTATAGTTAAAATCCACTAATAAAAATAATATTTCCAATGAACATACTCCCTCAATTGAACATTTTTGAAGAAATATTATTCACAGTAAGAATTTTTAAATAAGGAGTGTTCTGATCCCTTAAACACATATTGCCTTCCCATTTTTCTGCTCAAAAATTTACTGTTGTCTAAGTTTTACATTTGTTTCTACTTAAAAAAAATTTCAGGGAAATTGGTCTCTTGAGTTTCTATACACAAGAAAAAGTTAATATAAGAAAATTTATTGTATTATTTGTAATAGATGTTATTTATATTTGGAATATGACTTAATTCATACAATCAGAATTCCTTTTTTTGTATTCTTTTAGCCATGTTCTGGCCTTTACATTTGTTTCTTTGATAGCTATTCAGATAGTTTTATAACAATGCAACCTTATTGCCTTAATGGTCCAGAAAGCAAATTTAGTTTGAGACAAGTAAGATAAAACAGACAGTAGACATACTTAATAAATTTACTTAGATCCATTCATTCATCATCAATGCATAGCACATTCCAAAAGCAAGTATACAAATTTAAAATGAATAGTAATTCAATAATAATAATTCAATAATTGCAAAAATTCTCAAACAATTTTCATTGCATGTGCCTTGATAGCATGCATTTCTTTCCGTATTGATTTGCTTTATTGAGTTAACATCAATTATTTGTTCTGATGTGAAAATAAAAATGGAAGGAGCAGTAGTGGGGAATGCACCTCTTATACTGCCGCACTCGACACGTATAGCCGGTGATGATACCAAACAGCTACCTCCCACACAGATCTAAATAACACATCTTGGCACATTTGGGTAAGTACAATGTTTATTAATCTAAAAAATGAGAAGATATTATAAAAATAGAAGAAGTAGAAAACCTTAGACAAGTTAAAATACAGAAAAAATTTCAGCAAAGTTATTTGAATCAGGCAATATTTAATATATCAAATATTAGTAACTATGTATAAAGTAATCTAAACCCAGGACACTAACCATGTCAACAGGCAGCAGGTATCCTGACCACACCCAGATTCCTTTGCCGGGATTAGTGTTCTCTGATTACACACATCATGGGCACCCCTGGTTATAATAGTATTGTTTATTATTGATATTATAAAAATAACCATTCTGTAAATGATTACACATAGTAAATAAAATTGGGACTATACATAAGAATTTGAATAATTGGAATTTCTTTAAGGACCACTTGTAACTTCTTCTGCTTGTTTCACAGACCTGTAGAGGAGAAATGAAATTAAAAAGAATGTATTTAAGACTAAGTCAGTAGTGCAACATATTAAAAAGAAAGCTTGGGATCTTAATGGTTTCCTCTACTCAGTACAAACTTTTTACAAAGACATTGTCATTAGAGTATTACCTCTATTAACCATAATTTTCTTTCAGTATGTAAACTTCTGGTACACATATAAAATCCTAATCAGATGAGGGTGGCAAGGGAAAGTATCCTTTTCTTTAGAATGTTTGATGCTCTTTTTCTGCTTTGTCATAGTTATGTTTTATATTTCTGATTCACCAATTAGACCTTAAACATTTATGAAGAAAACTATGAATCTCCAAATTACCCACAAGTCTTGAAAGAATAGTTTGCATATGGCAGTTTGTTCAAAAAAAATATTATCTAGCAGAGGAGAGTGAGCAAAGTAAGGAAGAAAGGAAAAAGAAAATGTGACTGTTTTTGCATTTTTCCCTCTCTGGAATGCACTATTACACCAACCAATCCCACAAACTCCTTTTATCTGACTCCTTTACCATTACTACTGAAGGTAGAATTCTCTGCTGCATGCACTTATCTCACCCAAATGACTGTCACCATAATCATCAGCATTTTGTGTAAATAATTGTTCATTATATGTCTTCTTCACAACTTAATAAATTTCCATGAGAACCACAAAAGGTGCCCTGTCGCCCATGATGGTGATATGCTATTCTCTGTCATAGTGTTGGATGCGTGGCAGGCTTTTACTAAATGTAATCACAACAATGATTGACAGTTCTTGGATTGAAGAACAGTGCGCCCATTTATCATACAAAGAACACTTGAAAGACGGAAAAAGGGACCATATAATAGTGTACCTACAGTGCTGCAAGTATTGTCTACAACCCCAAAAGATAGAATCATGAAGAAGATGGCTATAAGGATTCAGATTTTGGAGCGAAATAAGATAGTAATTTATTTTAGAACAATTTGAACATATTTTACAACTTAAGCATTAAAATTTAATATTAAAATAGTATTAATGATCAAAGGACTATTATTATACCACACAGAGACAACCACTGATGGCATTTTGTCTATAACCATCCAGACAGTAACCTGAATTGTAAATTTATGATGTGTATGTTTCTATTTACCATGTAGAACCAAAAATGAGTTATATTTAATACTTTGTCTTATGATTTATCTTTTTAATAAAAATATTGGGAAAATTTTCCTAATATTTTTATTCAAAATGCACATATATATGTAATAAATATGTTAATATCAGATTAAGTATATATATATATGTATGTTTATATCCAACTAATGTATATTTCATCCTTCCTATTGGAATCAGAGTTTTCCATCATATAGATTGGTATAATTTTTTGAATCAACCCTCTTTTTTTTGGTTTTGTTTCCCTTTTTATATGCTTTTCATGTTTTACTGTGACATTTTTCCCATGATTTATAGTAAACCTTTTTTCATGTTTTATGTGGCAATGAATATACTATGATTCTGAAAGCTAAATCCTGATGCATTGCAGAAATTATTTCTGTAGGTGATTCCTAATACAGACTGAATGGGTTACTGATCATCTAGAGAATAACAAAGATAAATGAGCATTAAGGGAGATAATGAAGTCCCCGTTACTCAAAGGTTCATGTGGAGTCTGGATGACCATTTGGTAGGTGTACTGAGAGAAGAGACCAGCGTGGGATTAGGAGAGGAGCAGATGATTCGAAAGTTCTTTCCAGCTTTTACATTCTGTGGTCCTATTACATGTGGAGAAGAGACACTGCTGATTTTATATCCAGTTCATAGGTTGCTTCATGTCCATGGATGTGACACTGCTCTGAGATGCTGTAACTCTAGGAGATACTTAATGGTGACAGAGTTCACAATCTGCACAGTCCAAGGGATATGTATTTCAGCTCAACTCTATCTAAATTGTATTTTCCTGTTAAGGAGAAGGGATTTAAAATCCCCATCCCATCATCACAGCACAGGAGAATATGGACTAAATGAGGACATGAGACCTACACAGCATCAGAGAGAGAGAGAGAGAGAGAGAGAGAGAGAGAGAGAGAGAGAGAGAGAGAAATGCAGGGTCCTTGGCACAAAATCTTTTCCCATTAAGTCAATAGGAGAATGGTTTTCAAAAATATGAACTTTGAGCATTGGAGATAGCACCCACAATTACCTGACATTGATATTAAGTGCCCTGAACAAACATACCAGAGTAGACCAGGGTAGGACAAGAAGAGCATGGAACACAAAGAAGATCAGCAGAACCTGCACAATGAAAGAAAAAAAAGTAACATGCCAGACCAGGATAAAATATGTTTCAAACACAATTCCCTGCTGGTTTCACAAATTCCTAGTGATAGCTCATTGAAATTAATATCAGAACTTCCCTTACCATATGTAAGGAACTGCAATTTACAATTAACTCTTTAATAGCATGTATGTTCTTATTCAACAATTCTGTCATTTTCTATTTAAATTTTTATTGATTTTTGAAATAAATATAGAGAGTGTTTTTGTTATAGATGTGTACTGTGGGAAGACATCCTCTAAGTTGCATCCATGATTCTGACACCCAGCTTGGGTTTGGCAGGAAAGCCAGGCACCCCAACATAGCTTATTTAATATTGGATGTCTACACGTTCCATATTGTGATATCATAAAATTTATAAATTCTACCATTATCATGATGCTATATGATTTACATGAGATAGTGTACATATACACACACGTACACCATATTTATAATGCTGTGTGTATAATATTACATGCTAAACTTAATTCCTTTTAATGCAGTCCTGTAGCAGAAGAATATTCAGAAAAGGAGGCTACTTTGAAGGAAGGGAAAAGTAGCACTTAGAGGATAATGTGCCATAAATATTCTACTTCAAAAGAAGTGGCAAATTAAGGGTAACAGCAGACAAACTAAGAAGATAAAAGAGATAAGCAATTTCAAATGTTCAAAAATTAGTTCTAGATACACGAGAACATAGATATTAAAATAGATGGTCTACAAACGGTTAATTAGTCAAAGAATTAAAATAAAATAATAAAATTAGTCAAAGAATTTTAGACAACAACTTACTACAACTGCTTTTTTGGAGAATCAAACTATACAAAAGTGTATTAAAAACTCCTAGAAAGTCCTAGTAATTAAAAAAAAATCTATTTAACCTGATTGTCACCAAAATTATTTGATTTGGTAAAAGACTTTTCATGTAAAACTCATTTTCAGAAATGCTGTAAAGTTTCTGTTGGTAATTGAAGCTTCAACTAGAGTAAGATTTGATTTATTCTGTTGTTTCATACTTATCATAATAAAGTTCTTCCTTGGATATTGACTTGGTGTTGGGGCCATCCAGCCTGATACTGAATCCCTGTTTTGAAGTAGGGCTCCCTGCACTGGTGATAGCCCTTTCCTTCTCACATGCATAAGGATGTAACAAATGAAGCAGCTTTAGAAGGAGATAAACAAGTAAGAGAGTAGTGTCAGGTTTGGAAATAAAGATTAGAACACTCATTTTTTATTTCTTAAGGATTATGGTATAGGACAGGTTTCCACTGTTTTTCTGTAAAAAAACAAAAATCAGCTAAGACAATTAATCACAAATGCATGTGTAGGGATTGAGGTAAATCCTATATTAATGCATCATGGTCATTGCCATCCTGATGGAACTACCACTACTCTAGAGCAATAGCAGGTTAAACACACAATATATCACTGAACATGTCCTGTTTTGTAGTGTGTGTTGGTAAACCACTTATTATGTGCATGTGTGTATATTTGTAGATGTTATGGCCTCCCTAAGTAATCAGGAGACAAAGATGAAGACTCAGGCTCAACAAATCTGAACTGAATTTAATCATTTATTAAATATTTACTAAGTAAAGAGCCAATGCATAAATATCTATGAAATAAATATTTGTTAAACACTTACAATGTGAAATAGGAATACTAAAACTGAATTTTTCTTAATAGATTGATTCTTAAATAGTTACAAGCAATGTATAAACTAAAAGCCTTATATAAGTAATAATTAATACTCATTTTAAATGTTAACAAATGGGTAATCCTCCATGTCCCAATATGAAGGAGAAAGTCACATATAATTTATGTTTCAGAATAAAAAGAAAAGCTATGTTTTTGGTCTGAAAAAATGTTTAATTATACTAAAGATGATATACAGTTCTGTGATATTTAGTCAACATTTCAAAACAAGTCATTTTGAAGAAACTTGGCAGCGTGCTTTGAACAGTTGTTCTACTTTTAATAGCTTACTATGGGATTGAAAACATGCTTAATGTAATTACTAAACGCTATTTATTTTATTATGTCAAAATTTTAATTTTTATGTTTATCATATATGCCTCCCTTAATTTTCTGGATGACTTTGCTTGTAGATAGTAATTTGGAACACAGTGTAAATATAACTAAATCAAGTTGAAGTTTCTATTAAAAGCAGATTTCCTATCCAAATTTATCACTGCTTCAGTTTCTTTCTATGCTGCTCTTTCTTTTTCTCGTTTTAAGTGTTTTCTTGATGATACATACTCTTTCAGTACCCAGTAAAATAATTCCTCCCTTGATGCTACCTATAAACACATCCCTTCCACCCATATATTTTTAGTTTTTAGAGATGTAGTAAAATTTCAGAGTAGACCATAGGAACTTATTAGGTAGAATGTAAATGGTATCTACTGTGTATTCTTGGGAAAGAATATTTAACAAATCACACTTTATAAAATCAGAGTAATAGTACCTACACCAGGTGCATAACAAAAACATTTAATAAACACTAATCTTCTTCTATTGTCTCCTCTTTTAAATATTCAAATAATTTTACAAAAAAATCTTAATTTATGAGACAATGACATTTTAATTCCTAATATATCCTCCAAATAGATTTTGTGGTTTTATTTTAGACTTGGTGACAATTTTCCCAATTTATTACTAAATTAGGCTTCTATTAGAATATATGCTAACTATTCTTTCAGTTAGGAAGATTTATTATGCCATACTTTTGCAGTCCCATGCTTAGACCTTTCATTCTGTCTTCATAAGATTTGGGTCTACTTTTTCTTCTATTAGGTGCAAGGTCTCTGGTCTAATGACTAAGTCCTTGATCAACTTAGAGTGGAGTTTTGTGCCAGTTGAGAGATAGGGTTTTAATTTCATTTTGATATATATGGTTTCCAGTTTTCCCAGCACCATTTGTTAAAGAGGCTATATTTTCTCCAATGTATGTTTTTGGCTCCTTTGTCTAATGTGAGATAACTGTATTTATGTGGGTTTGTCTCTATGTCTTCTATTCTGTACTACTGGTCTATGTACCTACCTGTTTTTGTGCCAAAATCATGCCATTTTTGTTACTATTGTTCTGTAGTATAGTTGAAGATCTGGTATTATAATGACACCTGTTTCACTTTTCTTGCTAAGGATTGCTTTGGTTATTCTGGGTCTCTCACTTTTCCAAGTGAATTTCATGACTGCTTTTTCTATTTCTATGAAGAACAATATTTGGAATTTTAAAAGAAATTGCATTGAATGTGTGTAGTGCTTTTGGTAGTATGATCATTTTGACAATATTAATTCTGCCTATCCAAGAACATGGTACATTTTTTCATCCTTTAAGGTCTTGCTCTGTAGTTTTCATTGTAGAGGTCTTTCACCTCTTTTGATAGATTGATTCCTAGTTGTTGTTGTTGTTGTTTTTGAGGCTATTGTGAATGAAGTAGTTTTCCTAATTTCTCTTTCATTTGATTTATCACTGATGTACAGGAATGCAATGATTTATGGGTATTAATTTTATATCCTGCTACTTTACTGAATTCATATATGAGTTTTTTGGTAAAATTTTTTGGGTCTCCTTAGTATAGAATTATGTTGTCATCAAATAGGGATAGTTTGATTTCTTCTTTTAATTTCAATCTTCTGTCTAATTGCTAAGGCTATAGTTTCAAGGGCAGCATTGAATAGAAGTTGTGAAAGTTGTCTTGTTCCAGTTTTTTTTTTGGGGGGGTGCTTTCAATTTTTCTCCATTTAGAATGATGTCCGCCTTGGGTTTCACATATATAGCTTTTACAATGATGAAATATGTTCCTACTATCCCTATTTTTTCTAGTGTTTTGAACATGAAGAGATGCTATATTTTGTCAGATGCTTTTTCTGGATATATTGAGATAATTATATGATTCTTGTTTTTAAGTCTATTTATGTGATGAATTATGTTTATTGATATCCGTATGTTGAAACAACCTTGAATCTCTGAGATCATGATCTTGATCATGCTATGCTATATTTTAATATGTTTTTGTATGCGATTTGCCAGAACTTTATTGATAATTTTTACATCTATGTTCATAGGGATATTGGTCTAAAGTTTTTTTTTTTCCTTAATGTGCCTTTGTCTGATTTTGGGATTACAGTGATACTAGCTTCATACAATGAGTTTGGAAGGGTTTCCTCCTTTTCTATTTCATAGAATAATTTAAGGAATATTGGTGTCAATACTTCTTTGAATATCTGGTAGAATTCTGCTGAGAATCTGCCTGGCCTATGGTTGGCTTTTGATGGCATCTTCTATTTCATTGCTTGAAATTGATCTATCTAAATTGTGTATGTCCTCCTGATTCAACTTGGGTAAGTCATAAGTCTCTAAAAATTTGTTGATGTTTTCAGGATTTTCTATTTTATTGGAGTATAAATTTTCAAAATAGGTCCTGCTTATCATCTGTATTTCAGTAGTGTCAAGATATTTCTTTTTTCATCATGAATATTAGCAAATTGAGTTTCCTCTCTCTTTTTCTTCATTAGTATGGCCAAGAGTTTATCAGTTCTGTTTATTTTCTCAAAGAATCAACTTTTTGTTTTGTTGATTTTTTGAATTGTTTCTTTTGTTTCAATTTCATTGATTTCAATTTTGACTTTAATTATTTCCTGTCTTCTACTGCTTTGGGTGTTGATTTGCTCTTTTTCTAGGGCTTTGGGATATAATGTTAGGATATTTATTTGGAGATTTTCTTTCTTATTTTCGGGGGGGGGGGATGGGGGGAGGGCACCAGGGATTGAACACAGGGTCACTCAACCACTAAGCCACATCCCTAGCCAAATTTTGTATTTTTATTTAGAGACAGGGTCTCACTGAGTTGCCTTGTCCCTCGACATTGCTGAGGGACAATGAACTTTCCCCTTAGAACTGTCTTCATAGTATCCCAGAGATTTTGATATGTTGTTTCACTATTGTCATTTACCTCTAAGTATTTTTTTT